AGACTGGACAAAGCCAGGGCTATGAGGGAAGCCTGGGTCCCGGGTGCCAAAGGGAAGCTGGTGCCAGCAGCTGGGGGAAGGAAGGCCTACTCTTGCACAGATTTCATGCATTGGGCCTCTATATAAAAGCCTGAGTGATCAGCCAACTGCCCGACCAACTGACCGCCCAGTAGCCATGATTCAGACTGACCACCAGGGGGCAGACACTTGATGCAAGGGCTGCCAAAGGACACCAACTTTGCAGAGTGCCCTCTCGCACTCCGGGACCCCTCAGGGGATGTCGATTGCCAGTTTCAGCCTGATTCCCTCATGCCAGGCTCAGGGACCCCACGAATAAGGCTTCATATTGAGTAGGTATGCATTAAAGTTTTATTGAATTGATTAGATGTGATTTATGCCATAATCTTCAAGGAAGGGGTTATGTTGGAGATGAGAAAATAAAGTTAAAAGACTAAGACAAATTGGAGAATATTGTAATTAATATGAATAAGGAAAAGTGAAATTTGAATTTATCAATAATTTTTTTTCCTTAAACTGAAATAGGTTTTCAGAGTCTTTTGTTGGATTATATTTAATCTTCAGCAGGCATTTTAGATTATCAGTTATTTCATTTGCTCTCTCTCTAGTATATTATTACTGTGAAGTATTCCAACTGTATTTTTTCAAGCTACATTTGAATTAGAATCTCCTACACCTTAAGAATAATGTTTTAAAAGTATTCATGCACTCTCATAATACTCAGCTCTAACACTTATTTTCTCTCTTTACACCTAGGCTCCTCATAAAAAAACATTTTTAAAATGTTTTCATTTTAAAAAATGAAAACATGACAAATATTTATTTTCCTACTTAACTACTAGTTGCTTTCATACTCATGCTATTAAAAAATAGCAATAATCTAGTTTCCTTCTTATTGTTAAAACAATACATTGTTTTTAGCACTCCTCTTATTTGAACTCTTGGCAGCATTCATTATTATTTTCAAAATTCACTATTCACTATTGTTGACTTTTTCATTTCTTTTGAAGTTACTGTCTCTTGGCTTCCTAGATGACTATCTCTCCTGGTCCACTTCTACCACTGTCCACCATTCATTCTTAGTAGTTCTTATTGAAATCTCTTACTCATCCTTCCCCTCAATATTGTATTCCCTAAAATTATCTCGTTGGCATTCTTCTCACTTTCTTTTTGTCTTTTCATTTAACATTCTCTTCCTCAGTGTTATCACTCATTTTCAGAAGGTTTACTAGTAATTCCTACCTAAATGTTGACAATTTCCACATAAATATGTAGCTCAGAATCTTTACTTCCAATCTACATACTGTATACTAGTGGCCTGGTGCACAAAGTTCATGAAAG